AGGCAGGAAAAAGTAAAATCGTCTCTACTTACAGATAACATTATTGTCATTGCTTAAAAACAAAACAAAACAAACAAACAAACAAAAACAAAACAGCTGGGAGGAGAGACATATGCCTTTAGTCCCAGCACTCAGGGAGGGAGAGGCAGGTGGATCTCTGAGTTTGAGGCCAGTCTGGTCTACAAAGCAAGTTCCAGGACAGCCAGGGCTACACAGAGAAACTTTGTATCAAAAGAGAGAGAGAGAGAGAGAGAGAGAGAGAGGAAGGAAGGAAGGAAGGAAGGAAGGAAGGAAGGAAGGAAGGAAGGAAGGAAGGAAGGAAGGAAGGAAGGAAGGAAGAAGAAAGAAAGAAAAAAAGGAAAGAGAAAGAAAGGTGTCACAGGACTATTTACAACAGCCAGGAATTAGACCAACCTACATATCCATCAACAGATGGGTAAATAAAATGTGGCACATAGAAACAATGGGATTTTATGCAGCCACAAAAACAATGAGCACATGACATTTGAGAGGAAATGGGAGCAACTGGAAAAATCATTACGTTCTATGAAATAAACCAGATCCAGAAAGACATATGACAGTTTTTAATCTATATGCAGAACAAAGATTTTTAAAGGATATGCCCATTGGGGGCACAAGGTGTCAGGATACAAGGCTAATGACATTTCTACAAAGTAACAACAAATAGAATTGAAAAAAAACTTCAGATGCCATTAGTCTGATGTGATGGTGTAGCTGTAATCACAGCACTTGGAAAACAGAGACCCTTAGTGAGTTCTGGGTCAAGCCTGGCATAGTGAGACCCTGGCTCCAAAATAAACAAACAAAAAGATCATGAAAACATGGATTATTTGTAAGCAAACTAACAAAATATACACAGAGCCATGAAAACTAGAGCCTAATGTCTGTCCTCAGGATCTGTGGGCTTTTCATACCCACAGATCTCACCAACCTTGGGTGAAAAACATTTACAGTAAAAACAACAACAACAACAAAAAAAAAAAAAAAAAAATTCAGAAATGTTTCAAAAGTAAAGTGGGTTTGCTGAGCCACATGGAGAATCCAGGTAAAGGAGTCATGTATAGTCACACCCCACAGTAAGTTCACACCCTTCACGGACCACACCTCCCTCCCGGCCTCTTCAGCACTGCTTGAGCATGGCTCCTCTTGCTCAGGGCAAGCAGTATCTGTACTAAACATGCATAGACTTCTATGTCGGCATCATTATTCTCTAATAATACAGTTCAACAGCCGTTTACGTAGGCGTGCATTGCAGTGGGTACCGCATACGCTAGACAACATACTAACATAGGCTAGATAAGACCTGAAGTGGGCAGGGGATCATGCATAGGTTACAGACAGGCACTGCACCGACTCATGAAGGCACCAGACAGTGAGAACTCCGACGTTTTCATGGGGACTTAGTGCTGACCTCCATGACTCCTGGGGAGTAACTGCGTTAAGAAATCCAAGCCCGGCATGGCGGTGCACACCTTTCATCCCAGCACTGGGGAGGCAGAGGCAGGCAGCTCTCTATGAGGTCAAGGCTAGCCTGCCTACAGAGTGAATTCGAGGGTAACCATGGCTACACAGAGAAACCCTGTCTCGAAAAATGAAAAGAAAAGGGAAAAAAAGAAAGGAAAGGAAAAGAAAAGAGAAAAGAAGAAAAGAAAAGGAAAGGAAAGGAAAGAAAGAATAACAATAACAATAAAAAGAAATCCAGGTCTTAGGCTAAAGAGATGACTCATCAGTTAAGAGTGCCCTGCAGAGTGAATGGAATTTTATGTAAGAAGTGGGAAATAGTAAGAGCTGGAGGGGACAGGAACTCCACAAGGAGAGCAACAGAACAAGAAAATATGAACACAGGGAACTTCCCAGAGACTCATACTCCCCCAAGGAGTATGAAGATATTCATGGAGATAACCTAGAACCCCTTCACAGATGTAGCCCATGGCAGTTCAGTGTCCAAGTGGGTTACATAGTAATGGGAAGAGGGACTGCCTCTGACATAATCTGATTGGCCTGCTCTTTGATCACGGGGGAGCAGCCTTACCAGGCCACAGAAGAGGACAATGCAGCCACTTTTGATGAGAACTGAGAGACTAAGATCAGAAAGGAGAGGAGAACCTCCCCTATCAGTGGACTTGGGGAGGGGCATGCATGCAGAAAGGGGAGGGAGGGTGGGATTGGGAGGGGAGGAGGGAGGGGCTTATGGGGGGATACAAAATGAATAAAGTGTAATTAATAAAAAAAAGTTAAAAAAAATAAAATAAAATATAAACTCAAAAAAAAAAAAAAAAAAAGAGTGTGCCCTGCTCTTGCACAGGACCCAAGTTCAGTTCCCACCACACACTGAGTGGTTCGAGACGACTTCTAACTCAGCTCCAGGCACATTGAGCAGCTTACAATAGCCTCAACCTCAGCTTCAGTGGATGTGAAACTTCTGACCTCTGCGGGTACCTACACTCACATACACATATCGCCCCCCCCCACTCATGTACCACACACATACACCACACACAACATAACATACACACACATTTTTTAAAAAATCACTGTTTCTAAAAGAGAAACCCCAGTGTCTACAATTTTCTGAAAGCCACCCTGTCAGCCCCTGCCCCGGGCCTGTCTGTCTTGTGCTGTGGACACGGAGTTTTATGTTCTGTAAAAATTGCTGAGTCTAAACCAATGGCCAGCTCAGCTTTACTGAGGGATAAATTTGGAAAGAGACACGCAGCCTCCATGGAAGCGTCTGGAATCACAGCAAAAATGGAATCTGAAATAGACAAAGCCGCCAGCTCCCATTCCTGAGCGCACTCCCTACTTATATTCCCTGCGTGCAGCAAAGCTTCAGCTTCGAGAGAACTCAGTGAGCAGTGCCCTGGGTTCCTCTCTTAGATCCTTCATTACTCGGAGGAAGGCCTGTGGCCTCCAACCACAATTTTCTGCCCTGCTCTTCTATGTGACATAATGGTCCCCTTGGATCCTGAGCTGGTTAGGACAAAGTCTGCCAGCTGCCTCATTTAGACTTACATATATATATATATATATATATATATATATATTTTAGAGATCAGCTCCACAAAGAGGAGTCTGTCCTATGATAAATACTCATGAAGGAAAATTAATTTTAAATATGGCTTCCTGTGGCCGGCCCACTGCATCACGTTCTTACGCATTTTCTCCACTTGGGGAGCCAAGCCCAGCCTTTCGAGGGAGGAGGAAAGTGTGTGTAATCATCTCAGACTCAGCAAGAATGCATCCGCTCTGGAAACTGCTTTGCCTATACCTGATCTACTGGGAGCCTGGAGGGAGAGCCAGCTAAACAAAACACGAAGTGTGACAAAACAGCCAAGCACAGACCCGCAAATCACAGATCCCTTTGTTTCAGAGGGCATCACCCTAGTTAGGCTCCAACTTTGGTAGGCCAGTCTATAGCCCAAGCTCCACACAGAAAGAGCCTGGTTCTGGCGCGAAAGGTGATGAAATTCAAAGCAGACAGGATACACATGCTCCAGGGGGAAGTCACTAATACCCACGAACAATGATAAAGCAAAGTGCCATCTGCTGGGCTAATTTGACAAACCTTTAAAAAGTTCCAATTAGCCTATAAAGCAGAATTGGGGGTGGGGGAGGCAAATCCGTGCCCCTGCCATGTGAGACCATGTATCCTTGATTTCTCCATCCCTTTGTATGCAAAGTGTGGATGATGGAATGTTACTGGTGCGTGAATTTACTTGGGGAATTACATTCACCGTGCTTTAGGACATGGATGCTATTTGTGTATCCAGGTGGGATATAACTGCTAATTAAGAACACATGTATATTTTCATGCACATTTTAATGTAGGATGACACCATTGTCCCTATTATAAACACTGCTTGCTACTATTATATGCTGTTGGATTTAGCCTTTGCATGTATTTGGAGTTGAAGATAATGAAACATTTCTGCTGCTGTTATCCTGAGGGAAATTGCCCGGCTTATGATGGATTCTGGTATAGTAGGCCGTTTTCCTGAGTTGCTTTTCATGAAACACACCACTGTTAAAAATCACAATGCCCATTATTAGAACTGGTGTATTTCAGCCTGAAAAGAAAAGACTCTGATTGCAAACATGTAAAATAGTTCTTCAGGCTGAACTTGTCCATCACTTGTCTTTGAAAATATCAAAGAAGCCAGACAAGCTGCCTGTGCATGCTGATATTCTCAGCATCTCTTGCTTTCTCCTTGGCTCATCATGCAAATATTAGTGGGGTTTATATAACTGGAATTTCTAATCCAGTACTATCATTATTCAGTTACATGGTTTTTAGAAGAAGCTCTAGTCTTGAGATACCTTAGTTTCTACACCTACGAGATACCTTCCCTGCCATTGAAAGACTCAAAATAAGTGTAAAAGATCCACTTAGAAGTTTTTAACCCTCCTAATTAAAAAAAAAAAAAAAATCACTAGACCAGATAAATTAGGCAGGATTGTCTATTAAAGGATGGAACTGTGTAGCTATTGTTTTGACAGAAGTGTTAACTAGTCCCAGAAATCTGTCTCCTCCCTGGGCTGAACCAAGGGGGAGCCAATACTCAATGAACAGCCTGTGCTGAAAGATACAGGCTTGGATGCACTGAAGGGTACAGGCTTGGATCTCTAGGCTGTCTGAATCTGGGTAATGGGGAGTTATTTTGAAACAGGAACCTGTTTTCCAATTATTAACAAAATAATTTCCATTCATTGATGGCACTAACTTGTAGGATGGGATACCAGGAGACGGACAAAATGAGGACATACATCTGCGCATAACTTTCAGGGAGGACGCCAGAGCGTAGCAGAGGTGATGACGCACGGATGCAGGTTCATCATTGTACCAAAAGTTGTACAGAGAAGACGAGGGAGCTGCTCGTGTGTGATACCACGTTGGTATATGGGAGATTTTCAGCCTCCACTCGATGGTGTAGGAAGAGCGTTGAACGGGATTCTAACCAAACTGGAAGCAAACTTTTAAGTCATATATAATAAATCATTTATTGAAATATAAAGATCTCCATTTACATTTTTTTTAAAACAAAACATGAACAGGGGTATTTGGAAGCCATCTTGTACTGACTGGCAGGCCCTCCCTATGGAGTTAGTTGCTCTCACGCATTCAACCACACCACCATTTTGGGAACATGTAAGTATTTTTCTCTTTATTACTTCTAAAATATAAATTTTGGACATTCAAAAGTGCAACAGTTAATGTGCCTGTGGGGAATATCACAGTTAAAAAAAATATAAACAAAGGCAGTGATACAGCTTGTCATTACATGTTTTGGCAGTATTCTCCAAGTCTACATAGCAACACATATATACATATCGATGTATAACATCATTTTATCTTACGTCCCTCTTCACAAATATAGGACCACTTTGTACAGGTTGGCAGGCCACATTTTAAGGACATCATTGATCATTTAGAAATTCACAAATTGTGTTCCTCCAGCCGGCTTTGATTGTCATCAATAAAAAATAGAAAGCAGGGAAGATTGCTAAATTTTCTTCCAGGGACTCTGCAGGAGGCCAGAAAGGAAATGAATCAGGAATACAGTCAAAACATTGTTTAAAAATAAAAGTGTATTCCTGCTGAGTGTGGTGGTTTATACCTATAAACCCAGCCCTTGGGAGGCAGAGACAGTGGATCTCTGAGAGTTCAAGGCTAGCCTGGTTTTACACAATGAGTTCCAGGATAGCCGCAGCTACATAGAGAGACCTTGTCTCAGAAAACAAAAATGAATGTATTTCCACTTAATCTCAGAGGAGAGTGCTGCTAAGGATGGGAAACTGGTGGTCTGAGAAGCTTCATCCAACCTCATGTGGCATGCAAGGCCCCAAGTAGTACCATCAGAATAAAAAGAACCGACAAAAGCAAGGCTGTGCAAATTGATGATAAAAAGAATGCTTGAGCATTTCTAGAAACACAAATGTATTTCCAGTCTAATTGGCTCTAAAGAATCTAGTCAGGTTTTGGGGTTGTTTTTTTTTTTTTTTTTTTCTTTTTCTTTTTTTTAATTGGCCAATCTGGCTCAGTCTTCACACTTACTGTGAGAAGGGAAAGTTGGGGTTTGCGCTGAGATTATACCAGTAGGTAGTCAAGTACCTTGTTATTGCTTCTGAGGCTTCCAAAGCATCACCTGCTGGAAGAACATGCAGTGATTGCAGTAATCACAGCCCATGCTTCATTCGTACAGAGTCAGCAATTAGGCGCATCGCAGAGAATGCCAATGAACTCACACTAACCAGTTTGACAGTTAAGATGGTTGTGCTATCCTCCCCCTCAACCCCCCAATCAGGAAAACATTTCCATCTTCTCCACCAAATACACAAAGACCTGACACACGGAGTTGCATCATTTGTGGGCATGCTTTGGAGTGGCGAGCTCAGACACCCCATCCAGTGGGAAGTGGTACCCACACTGACTAGAACTGGAAGATGTGTGCCCAAACCAAGATTTTGCTTTCTCAGCCTCAGCTAAGCCTGGAAACTTAAATTAAGGGTAGGAATTGCTGGATACGTGGCCTCAAATATTATTGACATGAAGCCAAGAACCTAAATAGTAGCCTTCCTGCATGGCTGACTTTTAGCCCAGTTCCAAATTTCAAAATTGTCCCACCCCACCCAAGGCAACCCTCTGTAACCCAGGCCAGTGTTTCTGAGCACTGACTAATCAGAGGCGCCAAGGAGTTTATTAAAATATATATATAGCTTCCTGCTCCCTTCAGACCTAGTAATTCCAAATCTCTGGGGCAGAAAACCCAGAGACTAGTGACTGTAACTGTAGTTAACAGTGGGAACTAAAGAGCCAAAATAATGCCCACTTAACCTTCATTCAGCAGCACCATATGGTTCCGGGGTTTCCAGCTCTTTTTCTACAAGCCAAGAGAGGAGAGTGAGGGGCTGATGTTGAAGCATCCTTAAAGGTCAAAGGTTTAAAAAGTAGGAATGGGTGGGACCCATCAAAGTCATAACTGGTCATGAAAAACTTGTGTCCATCTGAGTCCCTTTGTAGATGATTCATTTCCACTAGGTCACAGCATGAGAAGTCACATTGGGCCCAGGCTTAAGCCTTTCTACTGAGAACATTGAGGACACAGGGGTTCTGCTTTGCTTGCTTCTAATCCCGCTACTTCAGAGGTGATTAGCTGCTTTTAGTGCCTTGGGTTAGGAAGACTATTTCATACACAACATTGAAAACGTTTGGCTTTCTGGATGACACTACTTTTGCTCTGCTCTCTAGCGTTCGCTAACTTTAATCCGCTAAACCTATTCTATTTCATTGAGAAACATGTTACTTCATATAAATGTCAAAAACTGCCAAACTTGTCACCTGCTTAGTACGGGTGTAGTTCTAATTGTGCTTTCTCTGTAGGGAAGTCATGTTATAGGTTACATATTTAGCGTTATTGTTAACAGTAGTAGCGTTATAGGGATAGATGATAAGATACAGAAGAGTTCTTGGGTTCCCAAAAGACCCAAATCTATTACTCAAGGTTGGTTAGTTTTAATCTCTTGCCTCTTTAATACTAATAAGACAGTAAAAACACAAAGGCTCCGGTACCTTTCCAAGTTCAAAGTGGTTTTGCATGTTCTTCATGAGAAAAGTCAACAGCAGCTGGTACCGGATTCCAAGAGGAAAGTATATGGATGGATTGAGTGGTCTCTTCCGAAGTCCAGAGAGGAGAGTTAACACAAATCTAAACACAGCCTCGGTTAGAGTTATTTACATAATTACAATGCAGGAGTTGTGCTGCGTACAAATTGCGCATGTGGGAATCTCACCAGTGCCCTGGAAACGCAAAACTCGTCTTCTGTGGCCTGGTATTCCCTTGTCCATCCATTTCCAAACTTCACACACCACTGAGATGCTACTGACGATGCCAGGGGCAATGCGGACAAAGTTCAAGCCAAGTATCCCATTCATTCACAGAGGCTCCTGAGGCCCTTGTCTGGGTACTTCTCCTTCCACGTCACCCAGGTCCAGGTCCTCTTCTCAACCTTTGCATTGCAATGAAGTGGTTTTCCTAAAGGGATCCCAATGTGGCTCCGAGAGTAGAAGATAACCGCCAAAGCCGCCAGTTACAGGAAGCTGTCCTCCACCAGGTCTGAGGAATCTATGCCAATGTCGTCCATCATGTCGATATCCTCAATGGTCTCGTCCTCTCTCTTGATGAAGGTGGAGCTACTGGAACCCGTCTCGATGGCACTCTCTTCCGAGGTCTGGGAGCTGATGGGATAGAAAAGCAAAGGCTAAGGTCACGGACAGATGGACAACAGGGGCTGCATTTCCAGGGTGGCTGTCTGAGGACTCTGCACAAGGTCCTTTCCTACTGAAGCATGTGCAGCCAAGCATGGCAAGTTTGCCGCTGAGCCAGCCATCGCCTCACAGAGCCAACACAAAACCAAGACACAGCCATCTTCACAGCCCCGCTAGCCTTCTTTCCTGCCACAGGCCTTTTGTGGAAGCTGCTAACAAGTTTCTACTTTCCCTGCCCATCCTATCGGTAAGCAACAGCCAATCAAAAGGCACTGAGAAAGGAAAACAAAGGAACAAAGTCAGTGGTGAAGTCACACCAGCAGCTGGCTGTCTCTGGAACCTCCTGAGCAGGAGGCTGGGGTTCCACATTTCCCTCACTCTCCTGCTGTGCCCTTCCCTCTTCTCATTCACCCAGCCCCTCTGAATCTGCAGGCCCAGGGGAAGACAGGAGAAAAATGCTTTCATTTTCCCACCTATAAAATGATACAGCAGAAGCCTCACCAACAAGACGTGAACAAGAATGATACCAACAGACACACTAATGTGTCAGGGGGAAACTGAGGCAGCCTCTACTTGAGACAAAGAGCAACAGAAATGAACTAAGGAACTAAGAAATGAAGGAATATTGATATCCAGAGAAATAGGCTTGCCCAGAGTATTTGGTTAACTTCTTTTGATGTGGTCATGATGGGCATTGCACGAATGTTCTTATTCTTAGAAAGTGTATGACAGAATACTAGGGATGAAGTATCTTGGTGTTTTCTACTTAGCTTTGAGTGGCTGAGTGACAAATAAAAGTGTGTGTGTGTGTGTGTGTGTGTGTGTGTGTGTGTGTGTGTGTGTGTGTTTGAGTGTGTGTTAATGATCATGATGACAATGATGATGATATATATAAGCTAGATGAAAGGAATGAGGCAAAATGTCAATCCCTGTCACCACTAATTGGTAGCTGTAGCCTCACAATATTCCCGTGTACCGAACATTTTTAAAACAGGTTTAGGTGTATGAGCCCTTGAGTCACTAGCCTGCCAGGGCACTCCATCTGTCCTTCCTTCTCTAGATCCCCAACCCCACCTCTCTCAACATTGTCCTCAGCTCCGTGGCCATTCAAGGACTCAGAGGAGAAGTCGCTGTCACTAACCATCACAGCTTTGGTGCCCAAGTGATCTAAGGACTCGGATCAGAGATTGTTCACCAGAGAAGCACTTACTTGGGGAAGAGACGATGCCTCAGAATCATGTGGGAGGCATTTTCAAAACTTCACAGCCCACCTGGGAACGTGGCGCCTTGTTGCCCGAGCACAGTTCACGTCCCTGGTGGCCTCTGTCTCCCATGAGCCCTCCCTTCACCTCTGTCTCCCATGTCCTCCAGGCTAACACAGAGGAAAATGAGCAAGAGCCCACACTTACCTGTGTCTGTTCCTCTTGCCCAGGTCATCCTCCTCCGGAACAGGGTCAATGTCTGGCAGGGGAATGATGTAGCCGCTGTCTGCACTCAGTCTCTGTTCGTCCAGGCCGCCTTCCCAGTCCTTCAGCTTGTCGTCTTCATTTTTGTAAGTGACACCGATGTACGCATTGTCGGAGTCCACACGCATGCGTGCCACAGCCGGATGGTCACTCTTTAGGAAGTCCAGGTGAATCTTTTCATAACTCTGAAATGATTCATTCAAGACATTGAGTCAAGTGTTAACGACAAACTGTAAGACGAGTGTTGACGTTTAGAACATGTGATTTACACGTATGTGTTTCCACAAGGAGAACTGAGGGGGAATCATTTGCTAACCATAACCAGAAAGACATGTGGGACGGGAAAGAGGGACACACAGCGCCACCAGACCGCTAGTAAGACTTCAGCTACAAAGAGCCTCTCCCTAGATCTTTAGCTGTAATGGGGGGCCTGCCACTCCCACCCAGGACAAACTTGGAGACAAAGGGCCCCATCACTGAGTCCCTCCAGAGCTCACAAGGGACTCATAGACTATGCAGAGGGCTTATTCTGCGAGCACCATTCCCAGCATCTTCCTGACCCCTGAGTGTTGGGGAAGTCTGGCTTTTGATGGGAAAAATCCTATCACCCCTTTGTGTATGTGATGGGGGGAAGGAGGTGCGATTTCTCGGTTATAATAGCTGCTGCTGCGCTTGTTCTCGTCCATTCTTCTCCCCATCACCTTCTTTCCCGCTCCCTGTTTCCTTCCTCCAGACAGGTCTGCCTGCTTTCTTATCACAGACATTTCGTTACCCTCGCTAACCCCACCCACTTTAAGGTCCTTCTTTCTTCTCCCAACCCCTGTCTGTTTCCAGACATGCAGACACACACGTATGTATGTGTGCACACACACACACATAAATATAGGGGCTAGAGAGATGGCTCAGTCTTAGCTTTTGCTGCTCTTACAGAGGACATGAGTTCAGTTCCCAGCACCCACATTAGCTGGCTCACAACCTCCTAGAATTCCAGCTCTAGGAATTTCCATGCCCTCTTCTGTCCACCATGGACACCCGCACACATGTGTGTGTTGACATATTTCACTTGATGTAATGATTTCCAGTTACAAACATTTTTCTGAAAATGTCACAATTTCATTTTTTTTTTTTGCTTATGAAGATGCCATTTGACCAGAAGTGCTCCGCAGATTCAACACAATCCCCATCAAAATTCCAACAGTTTTTAAAGAACAAGGAAAACAATCCTAAAATACATATGAAAAAAAATAAAATAAAAGACCCCAAATAGCCAAAGCAAGCAATGTTTAGTTAAAAAAAAAAAAAAGAAAAAAAAAGCAATGCTGTAAATATCATAGTACCCAACCTCAAATTATACTACAGAGCCATAGAGTTGTATATATCAACAGAATAGAATAGAGAATCTTGAAATAATCACACAGATATAGCCCCCCACTACTTGACAAAGGTGGTCATAATTTACACTGGGGAAAAGATAGCCTGTTTAACAATTGGGAAAACTAGAAGAAAATGGAACTAGACAAACCTCTCACCTCACACAGAACTCAGCTCAAAATGAATCAAAGACTTGAAAGTTTGAAACTTCTAGAAGAAAACATTCCAATATATAGACACAGATAAGAGCTTTCTGAGGCAGACTCTGAAACCACAGGAAACGAGCAAGAATTGACTAATGGGGCTGAGCAGGTGGTGTATGCCATCAATCCCAGCATCAAAGGTGAGAGGATCTCTGTGAGTTCAAGGCCAGCCAGGGCTACATGGTTAGACCCTGTCTCACATACACATAAAAAAATTAAATAAATAAATAAATAAATAAATAAATAAATAAATAAATAAATAAATAAATAAATAAATGAATGAATAACAAGTGGGATCAAATGAAATGTAAAAGCTTCAATACAAGGCTGGGTATGGTGACATATGCCTTTAATCCCAGCACTCAAGAATCAGAGGCAAGCAGATCTTTGCAAGACTGAGGTCAGCTGGGAATACTTCGGGAGTTCCAGGCCAGCCAGGGTTACCAGGTAAGAGGTTGTCTGCAACAATAAATAAACAGCCAGGTGAGGTGGGTCATGCCTTTCATCTCAATGCTAGGAAGGCAGAGGAAGAAGGAGCTCTGTGAGTTTATCTACCAAGTTCCAGGTCAGCCAGAGACAAAAAGTGAGACCCTGTCTCAAAACGATAATAATGAAAAATAATAAAGAAGGAAAAGAGGAAATAATAAAGCTTTTGTGCAGCAAAACAATCACAAAAGTGAAAAGAAAGCCTAAAGAATGGAGTAAACGGGCCAAATACACAGACAATGGATTCGTATGTAAGCTATGTGAAGAACTGCAAAGCACACACACAATATTTAATCAATAAATTGGCTTATGAACTGAATATTTAACTTTCAAAACAATAAATACTGCTGGGTGTGGTCACATGCCTGTAATCCCAGAACTTAGGGAGGAAGAGGCAGGTGGATCTCTGTGCCAGCCTGATCTGCAAAGCAAGTCCAGAGTAGCCAAAGGCTACACAGGAAACCCGTGTCTTGAAAAACCATAGATAGATAGATAGATAGATAGATAGATAGATAGATAGATAGATA